AGCTTCCCTTTGAATAACGGAATAATACAACTCGTCGTAACCTGTTGGCATATTACATCTAATTATAATTACACAGTGAAGTTGTATTACTTCGCTGTATGTACTGTGCAAACCTTAAAAGACAACAGAGAAAGAGAGAGAGACAGAGAGAAAAGGACATTTGTTTATGAAATACGTGTTAAACCGACATTGAAGCGATTAAATGCAAGCGAAATTATATAGAAACTTTCAAGTGAATGTTTCCGACCAGCATGAATAAAACAATTATATGAGATATGAAATTAATCGAGAAAGTGTTTAAGCATTTATCAAATAATTTTGCATCACAATTATCGTTCATCAATTGTGAGTAAGAGAATAATTCCTTCATTTTTGAAATAATGATAATTTGTACATTTGCATGTCATGCATGGCTGTAAATGTATGGTATCAACGTTTCCATATGAGCTTTGAAGGCAGAAACTCGAGGTGTTCGTGCATTATGCTCTTGGGAACTATTTTCGCACAGCGCGCCTGATATACGTATAATCACGGGTATATCGGAGATGCTGTGAGATTATCTCCGCCTTCTGGTGTCAAAATAATACGCGACATGCGTTCTCACAATTTGAACTATTAAACTTGCTAATTACGTCCCTTGCGAAAGTAATGCAACGTGAAAATAACATCAAACAGTCATTAAAGACCGTCATTAGCTTAATAAAACAATATCTAATTTATATTTTGATTGTTTCATTGTTTTAAAGAAATATCTCCATTTTGTCAAAATTGGAAAATGTTAAGACACACATTGTTTTTTGTTATTAAATTATAATTTTATCTATTGTGGAAATATCTGCATCAATAATATATTATAATTAAAACTAATTATATAATTAAATGTTGGTTAATTTAAAAAATTATAAATAGAAATACAGAGTTGATTGTAGAGACATTATAATTTACGAATATAAAATCTTAAAATTGATTAAGTAATGATATTATATTATAAACCTTATCTTAATAACTTAATTACTTTAGCTTTTCAAACTATTATTATTTGTTTAATATTGATATTATTTATTTTATTTTATTCATTTTATTTATTTTATTTTCATTGAGAAAAAAGGATAATTGCAATTACCATAATTTAACTATAATTTACAGTTCTTTTTTGAGACAACTGTATCGTTGTTTTAATCATATAAATATAGTCAGTCGAAATATAATGTTATTAATGTTACTTGAAAATTTTTAGTTTTTTTAAAGTATATTTTTTAGTTATTGTGCTACACAAATAGTAAATAAATTAAAAAAAATTATTATATTCATTATAATTGCGATTGCATTTTGAATAAAAATATTTGTTTTATTTACTATTTGATATATAATTGATACTTTACTCTACTGATATTTAAAATTATCTTAATTTAGTACAATTTTTTCATGTTTGAAAAACCTATATATTATATGATTATTATTACTAACATTATAACAGTAATAACAAAAATGAAGCTAATTAACCGTAATTATTTTATCATACAATTATAGTCACAAATACCAAATACTTTTTTCTTAGTGCATATAATATATAACAATATATTTATAACATTAGTGCTAATGTTAATACGAAAATGGAATAGAACTTGTAGAGAGAAATATAATTAATTCGTGATGATATTTGATTATATTCTTCAATTACATTTTAATTGCGTGCTACAAATTCTTGCCGATCTATAATTTTGTAAGAAATCGTTATAATTTTTATCATTTAGAATAGGTTTGATCCGCCTGTCGCTTTGCTACAAAGCGTTTGTGCAGGCTCGATAAAATATAATTTCGTCAGTGTTTCCAGTTGACGTGACGACGAGACGGCACAGCAAACAACAAGACGAATGAACGTTCGCAATCTTGACAAATGCAAGAAACTCCGGTTCTCCACTTGCCTTACGCTTGCCGGAAAACGTTTGTCAAGCCGAACTGAAATATGGCAGCGTACTATCCGACAATATTTAATTGCTCCTTCTGCCGGAATGAATTACAGCTCTGCCAACAATAGCGCGTGATGTACCAAGCGTCATACAGAGCGAAGAAATTCCATTTTGTCCTCAATTTCTGCTGCCTCTTCGCATATTTATATCGTAGCAAGGTATATATTACAGAATAAAAAGCTTCTAATGCGTGATCGGTATATCCCGGTAGTTTAGCGTGCATTTCACGAGCACATTGACGGTTCTTATCGCGTTTTTTATCAGGCATTACGGGTTTAGTACGAGAATGATTGGTCAATCGATATCGATTTGATGTCTCCAATCACCGTGATGTGCAATTCTCTTGCCATGTGTTCTATGATAGGTGCTACAGTCTTAATCGAACATCGAGTGCATATCCGAAACAATGGCCGCTCTTCAAATCGCGTCAAACGTCGATCATTCTCACTGGTGGGAATAATTCAAACATCGACATGGCGCTCCCGTCTAGCCGCACCTGTGTGTTCGTCGATTATCGATTTTCGTAACGTTCCGACGTTGGAATCCCGACGCGACGTCGTCGGCGAGACTTCGCACCGACCGCCACCCGTCTACCTGACGTAATATCGATTATCTGTCTCCGACTATGAATAATCGCGTCGAATTCGCATATTACGTTCGAGACTTTTGGCGGAAGGTGAGGTCAACCGCGGACTTATACCGGGGAACGAATCGAATCCAACACGAATTGTCGTCGGATCACGCGAAACCGGAAGTAGTATCTGACGTTAGAATACGGAATATCCTGGGAAGAAGCTGTCGATAGCTTGGATATGGAATTTTACGGACAAATCATGGGCATAAATCGCTTTCAAAGAATACGTAGAGCGGTAGTGACAGTAACTTATTTTCAACGATATTTTTCAATTTTATATATCTTCTTTTAGGGTAAGTTATGAAATAAATTATGATCGCTTTTATGAAGTTATGACAATTATCTCGAACTATTATTATTATTATTATTTAGCACGTATAAGAATTAACATATAAAGAATTAAATTTTTCTCAAAATATAATAAAGAACTTTATCATATTATATTTTGCAAAAAAAAAATATAACGTTTTAATATAATCCAATATAAACGCGATTTAAATTGAGTTACATTAGCGTAATTTCAACATATGTTACGAAAGTTTATAAAAGTAAACAATTGTTATTTTAAATATTACATTTATGAAAATTGAAATGAAGCTAATAGCAATTAGCAATCGTTATAAAGCTATATTTGTATTAAAAATTTTAATAATACGAATAAAAGTTAAAATGTATTGCTTTAAATATTATCAGTTATCGAATATAAATTAATATTTGTACTTTTTAAACTATTACTTTGTATAATATTCGATGTTATATATCAAAATTCAGTATACGAAAGTCCTGGAACAATAAGCTTTAACGAGTTAAAAATTGTATCTAGCAGCTCAGATAATGAAAAAGGACTTTAGAGGAAACTACATAAACTCAACATCAAAACGTCATAACGTGTTCAATAAGAACTTTACTCCATGAATAAAACCGAGACATAGAACGTATTTTCGATAAAAAAATAAAAGTTACGTGGATGCATACAATAAACATTTATTCATGTTACTGTTTTGTCATTTATTTTTGCTATTAATTTCTACTTATTCTCCTGCGCATTTTATGCTAATAATTTCATATATGAGAATATTAATGCTGCGGTTATACTTATATAATTGCGGTTTTTAAATGTATGAATATGTAATTACGTAATTACGATGCATAATATTAGAATGCCTTAAAAAGGATCATTACATTATACTTGTAATAGCAGAGAAATTAGAAAAAATTGTTATGACTAAAATATGCTAATATTGTTATATTAATTTAATTAAATATTCGTGGTATGTACAAAGTTACATTTTTAGGATATTAATGCTTTAATAATATAATTGCTCGTATGAGGATGCACATATAAATGATATATAAAGAAATAAATACGGATGTGTGTGTGTGTGTGTGTGTGTGTGTGTATGTGTGTGTGTGTGTGTGTGTGTGTGTGTATATATATAGAGTGATATGTGTAGTATTAATTTACGAAGAAAATTTTATAAATTTTTCTTTATTGAGAACGTATTTTATATATAAATATTACATATTTATTACTCATAATATTTTTTGTGCAATACAATAATATACCAATTTGAAACATACTTTAAAAAAATATTAATATAGGACACAATCAAATATGTTGTAAAAAGTATTGAAAAAAATATTTGTGGAAGTCGCACTCTTTTCATCACGCTTCGAGATTATTTTTATATTTCGTGCGAGGTCATTTTTTTGTTGTTTATACCAACGATTATTAAAGTTTTCATCGACTTTTTTTGATTTTATGATTTAGCGATACTCCGTCCCGTTGCAACGCATAGCTTTCTGAGCGGAATGTTCAGAAATAGATGTCGAAATGTAAACGCCGACGGAATTCGATTCGCTCATTCTCGCGCGCGCAATTTTCCCACCAATCGCAGTCACTGGTTGTGGAGAACTGATGAATTCGTCGAGAAATCGATCGAATATGTCCCGTCCTCCGTGCTCGTTCTTTGAATTGTGATTACAGCCGCTTTTCATGCCATCGGATAAAGACAAAGAGCGCGAGGCGGTGAAAAAAGATGGGGTAGCCGCGGATTGTGCGGAATCTCAGTTACCGAACGAAGCTGGAGACATCGATTCCCACCGGCTTGATACTTGACAAAAGGTGAGGAATTCCTTACCATCGCTTTTAGCCGTCGTCGTTTGCTGTACACCGTTCGCGTTTGCCCCTTCACTTTTCTGTGGCGAAAAAGGACCTCCGAACCGTAAAGAATGTCGTGTTCCTGGCAATCGTCCGAATGTCTCTGTATATAGAGGCGCTGAGGTACAAACGTCGGAAAAGCGGTATTCGAGTTATTCCAATATTCAGAGATAGATGTATATAACTGCATCTCGAGCTTACCTCTCCTCGATGTCGGGCATTTATTTCCTCTCTTTCTCTTGCCTTTCACTCTCACTGGTTTCACGTTGTGGTTCTTTTCTCGTTTCTACCGGTATTCGGGGTTATCCTTTGTATTCGGTGACTGTGTCTTTACTGAAGTTGTTACGCAACTTTTCCTCTTTCTGTTGGAAAACAGTTTTGTAGATTGTTGTTATTGTGTTCGATATGTCTATTACGCTATCATGCTAATATGAGCACAATCTCATGTACGGAGACTTGGTGCTTTTTTATTTTATGCTAATTTATTGTTGTAATCCTGATTTTATTACTCCAGTCGTTTAGCAAAAAATTGTTTTCATGTTAATCTTTAAAAAAAGTTAGAATTATACTCGTGTTATAGCATGCTAGCTTGACAGACATGTATTTGATCTCCGGATTTAAAGAGCGGCAAGCACTCGTTTGCTCGTACTATCGGGATTTATAAACATATATCTAAGTGACAAGATAATATTTTCTACCTACGAGTAAAATCTTTATTCCAATACTTGAATTACGTAGGTAGTAGTTTGATACGACTATTCTGTCTACTTTCTTTGAATTTATTTCGCAATTTATTTTCTCGATTTATCGTGTAAGATGGATTTGAAATTTATAATAGATATTGTACAATTTTTAATTAACAAAAAATGTTGCAGAATTAATAAATTTATTAAATTTTTTAAAATATTTTGTAATATAGAAATTAATTAAAGTTTAAATAATTAATTAATTAATTAAATTTTAATTTAAGTATTCTAAGGTGTAATAAAATATGTAAAAAATCTAATTGTAAAATTAAATTGCAAAATTGACGTTCTATAAACAAGAAATATGTTCCTCAAATACCCTTATTATCAACGACTATTTTATGCGAATGTAAATCTTTCCTACTATTGATCCTTTAAAAAGATATACGGGTATTTGTAGTTCGATCTAACCAACAAGCGACCGTTTCAAGCTCCACTTGCGGTAAATCATCAACGACTTATAGCACGTACAGCCCTTAGTTCTTTATCACCCATAAACACGCAGATTCGTTTTGACAGTAAAATATCGTCGTGACATCGTGACGACTAGTTGCTTCGTAGTCTTCTTAATAAATAAGACTGCCAGTTGCGATCTTAGCTTTGAGTAATCGATCCGCCTCTATTTTCTATTCACCCCACAGCAGGATATTCGAAGGGAAATTTCGATGATATCCAATGAAATGATCGAGAGAGGCAGAACATCCCTTGAAAGAAGAGACGAAAAGCTCTTTGGCTACCTTTCACGGTTATTAGAGCGATTCGTCATCTGGATGACCCGTACGACCGTTCGCTTGCAGAGATTTCTATGTATATGACCTATTCGTGTGATGTCAATATTTTTGTATGTTATATTTTTCATCATTTTTCTTTGACATAGCTGTACATATTCGAACTACATTCATCCGTTAAAAATTTTATTATTATCGAGATGCTCAGTGCAATTAAATTAAAAAGTGCCACGTATCGATAATATTCATAATGAGAAATGATTTAATTTTTAATTGATTAAATCGATTTTAATTATGATCACTTGTTATGTTCAATTGTGTTATGAATCAGCTATATTGTTGAAAGACTTCTTGTTGTTCAGCTTCTTGCTTTTTCCCTGATATCTTTGACTATTCCACATTACCTATCGTTATTTCTACCTCTTTCTACTTACTACAATTTTGGCCCTCTGTAGACGCCCCTTCTTCGTTCCACGACGGAATAATTTAAAAGCTCATTAGCTCTGCCATTTCTTAAGTTCCGAATAAAGTTGGCGGGATAGGTCTTGAGAGTGTAGATTCCTCCTCCCGACGTACTTTCTCTTCCTTCCTTACGATCGAACTACCTCAGAATCTAGCCAGGAATCGTGGTGGTCGTGTCGGTGGCGACGCTGATGGTGATGGCGGTAGGAGTGGCTCGCGAAGAGCGAATAGTGTAAGGAAGGAAGTGTTGGGGGGTTGCGCTTCGGGGGTGTTGGTCCTGGTTATATAGCCGTAGCCTGGTCTCCACCACATTGGTTTGTCGAGCCATTAATCGGAACAGCTTTATACCTAGAGATTTATATTGGATTAGGTTGCGGGGTTGTGGCGGTGGTTTAGTTTGAAGGTCTCTTGCTTCTTCCCTTTCCCCTTTCTGGTTAACTGTCGTCTCACCTTAATGAATGTCATTCTGTAAAATTCCTCTCAACTTAACTTTTTCTTTTTTTTTCCCATGGTATTCAGAAACAAAAATAAAACATTTATTATCAACAACGTTATATTAAGAGAGAATAGGAAAAATATTAATGGTCTTATCACATGGTTATATTCTTATCCACTTATATACTTTCGAATTGGTACAAATGTGATTTACTTATCTTTTTTGAATCGGTGTACGGTTAAAATAACAATTCGTTTATAATTGCTTTACTCATAACGTTTGACATAGTGAAGCTAAAAAGTCTCTTATTTTATTATGGATTTTAGAGCAAACACACTTGATTTTTATATGTATTTGTAGAGGAAATTGAGAGAAATAATAATAATATAATATATAATATAATATAATATAGTTGAATCTCAAAAATGGGAAGAAAGAAACTTCGATATAGAGAATATTGTTTATGTAGATACTTATAACACTACATATGTGATATTAGTTAATTGTTATTAAAAACTTTCACAATTCAATTTAATTATTATATAATATTATTGCATTATATAATTATTGTATAATATTACTAATATATGTGTGTGTGTGTGTGTGTGTGTGTGTGTGTGTGTGTGTGTGTGTATTTATAAATCACTAAACATTATTGCGCCCAGAATACCTCCTCAAGATGACGGCAGTAATAAGTAAATGTGATATGATGTGGTATTATTAATGTGATATCTAATTAAGACACGCTAAACATCAAGAATAAAATTGTCAAGTATATTGAAGAAATTTTTATATCATTTTCTGCAGATAGTTCTGACGATAAAAACAATAATGAACAGTGATGGTGAAGGCAATAAGTAACAGCAGCTAATGGACAGGTGAAATGAACATATATATAACTTCTTTCGTTTCCCAACCTTAAAACTATTTTTTTAATGACATACACAGCAATAAATGACATACAGTTTAATTATTCTTTTCATAGCCTATTTTTGGCGAAATTATTTAACTTGCATAAATTGAAATTTTTTTTTATTGCAAATGTAATGATGCAGGAATTTAAAAGGAAAAAAAAACAAAAAAAAAGAAATAGAATAATATTTCGTTCGTTTAATTCCGTTCCAAGAACTAACCAGTACCTGCATTGATCTGAATTCCGAATGTCTATTTTTGAACTTTCTCGTTATCCTGACGGTATCTAAGCTCGCGTGCATTCGCGGTTACCTTCAGAAAATCAATACTTGATCGCGCGTTTAAAAATTTTACGTGATGAAATAATCTGTTGACCAAAGATAGTCTTAAAGAATATAGTCATCGGAAACGTAAAATTTTGTCAAAATATATCGTATTAATCTTACATATCATAATGCATTTTCTTTTTATATTATATTCTGTCACTTACCTTGCTCCGGTTTACCACATAATAAAATTTTAATACACTTTGAGTTAAAATCGCAGACTTCGTATTGGCATTTTTTGAAAGATAAGATTTAATAAATCCGAAGATGAAAGGAGAAACTCCTCATATCGAAGAAGCGCCGAGGCTTCTCGTGGGATGATGTTTGATGCATTACAGCGGATCAGAGTTCGCTGAACAAACTATTTCGGTTCTTAAAGTCCCTTGAGGAGCTCTCATGATTTATCGATAGGTCAATAACGGACCGTTCTGATCAGTATTGTGCGAACTTGCGGTAAAATGTTTTAAGAATATTGCGTTATAAAAATGAAAATATCCTTTTATAAACAGATTTTTGAATTATTACATATGATATTGTGAGAATGTCATTTTCGCTTTTCATCTAAATTTATTTCGCTCTTTATGGTGATTTTATTGGAAGTAAAAATAAAGCAATACAGAATATGAACATTATTATAATATATATTATCTCATATTATCAACTTGACGGGAGAATATTACATTTGTTGCGAAAATCAAGAATTACGCAGAACATAATAGCTGTATAATATATGACGTACGTAATCAGCAGTAACGTTACAGTCACATTAAATTATATCATGCATGAAATGCTACTAACGCAGATCTGACCGAAGTCAGATCTCATCTTCTCGTGAATTATGGAAGCTGGGTCATGTGCGGGTGCGGAACTTTACGACGGATTAGTTAACCCTTAACCACTGATAAACGGCTTCGTGAAGGCAACTCCAGTCGAGGGTTCCTATTATTCCACACGTGGGAATCTTATAGCTTCATTTCTCGAATTACTCTCAAGCGACGACTCAGTATCCACTCTTGAGCTAATCTCGATTTGGTTTTGGTAATATTTCACTAAATTTGGATGCTTATATATACTGGTTTATATATAATAGAATACATTTATTTATACGAAAGCGACATTTCCATCGCTTGTCATAAAATACTAGAATCATTAAACAAAAAAAAATCAGTATAGTTATAAAATGTTAAAAATGTTTTATATTTTTTATAGAGAATGAGGTATGGAGAACGGAACATTTTTAAGACATTTTTTAATATTAATTTATATAAGAAATGAATACAAAATAATTACATTTGCGCGTTTTATGTCGTTTTTGAAAATGTTTAATATTCGGAATGAAAAATTATGTTTGTAACAACTCATGCGAAAAAGAGATGTCCAAGTGTCAGAATCTGCTCGATGAAAAGACCCGTCGGAAGCCACGAGGCGAAGCATATTACATGCGGAACTTTATGGCTGACTAGTTAACTCTGTTTCTACTTTTAGCCAATGGGTTTCGCGATGTGTAGTTCACGTAGTACAATTTTATTTCTGGAAAGTGTTAAAACTATATCTTTTTTTTTATGGGCAGCATATTCTTATTATGAGCGATAATAAGAAAAAAAGAAAAGTGAGTAATAAAATGTGATTATTTTCATGCCGATTCAATTATTACTTTGAGGAACTTGAACAGTTTTAATTGCAGTAGTTTGTAGATAATATTCCCAGGTGCCTATAAATTCGTCGAGTAATTTATAATAAATTCTCTTGCGCTTAATAATATTTAATGAATCTAAACTACTTTCTAATAAATTTGCTTAGAGCACATTTGCTAGATTACATAAAGCTATTCATAATTAATTTTCACAATGAGAATTTTAATGATCGAATGAAAAGTTTCTAATTAATGCACGATCATGTTCTGTGTGTGTCCGAAACTTCTTTAGATCACTATATGTAGAGGAAAGGTCCCTGTTATGAGATACCAAGTTCATTTTAGGTAAATGCTAGAAGTCCAGTAGGCAGAATTTAAAAAATAATTGGTCATTTTGAAGGGAATTTAATAAGCTTTAAGATAACATATAAAATTTAATTCAAATTCCATTTTTTTTTAAATTAAAGAAATGTAAAAAATGAGCAAATCGCAAAGTCAAAAAATTTCTGTTAATTAAACAATTTAACATTCCCGTATTAGTACAACCTTACTCTATCATTACATGAAGAATTTATTACCAATTCGTAATTAAACAATTTAAAATTCCCGTATTAGTACGACTTTATTCTATCACTACATGAAGAATTTATTATCAAATATTATTTATTTATTATTAAATAATAAATATATATATATTTATTTATTAAATAATAAACAGGATTTAAAGGCTCATCTTAATGAACTTGAAGACATCCAAATTCTAAAATTTTATTTTACAATGACTACAGGCATGATCAAATAATGAATTTTCTACTAAGTAGTTTTCAATCCAAGAACAATAAATTCATGGTGGGACCAATACATAGCGTTTATTAGTTTAGCAGAAACGCCGTTATCTCATATTAGGCGCCTATCTCATAATAGGGGGCTTTCCTCTATATATAAATTAATTTACAAGTCATATATATGTATATTTAATAATTATAAGTAATATTCGCAAGCGGAATAATGATAAAGTATTAACAACATATACTATTTAAAATGTAATTATTTTTATTATGTATAAAATTATTTAAAAACACAATCTACAATTATATATTTATAATGGGAAATTATATATAAAGGGAAATCATCTAAATTATCATATTATTAATATAAAAATGTACAGAATGTTCTATTTTAAACGATGATCTCAAATATCTTTTGAACAATACATTTTAGAGAAAATTCTGATTCAGACAAAGATTGCATGGTTTTAAGGGAGACATCAAAAATCGCGTAAAGCGCATGTAGCGACGATCGCCTTCGCAAATCAAAAATATATTATTAATTTAAGAGGAAATATTCTTATATCTGTTAAGAAGAAATATTAAGTACATCTTTCAAGAATACAATTTTTTTGGTGTATACATAGTGTCGCAATAAGAAAGAGAATAAAATGATATCAACAGAAAAATTCTTAATGTTGGATTGTTCTGTCCATTGATCATAATATAGTTTTTGAAACAATTCATTGATTTTACAATGTTGATTATGTGGTAGCTGAGGTGAGTTTAAATTTCACGTTTCGCTGGTGAACCTCGGGGTACGATAAGGTTACCTAGGCAGGCGCCTTAAGCTACTATTGAGTACACGAGGTTTAGCGGTTTCCTTCCACGCGAGCAAGAAATTCCACTTCCGTGCTCCGGCGAGAATATTAGGTATTTTGTCTTTGACATTAAACGTGGTGCGGCTG